TAAAATAAAAAATGTATATCTTTATGTTTGAAGCCTGAAATGTGGCAAAAGGTTGAAAAGTTCAAGGGGGCCGAATACTTTCGCAAGGCACTGTATGTCCGTCAACAGAATAAAGTGGCTTTCTGGATTATGTGGTGGAATCTCTTTGATTTGCATCCATGACAGGACGTCTTTGACTAAAGACACTGTTACAAATGATCACCAACAAAGAGCTACAGCTTACCCAAATATAGCATGGTACAATATGCTGCATACAATGTGATTAACATTGTGGGTTCAGTCTGTGTTTGTATCCAGACTTTCACTAAAAGGAGAGAGATTCTGCCAGTGTTGCTTTAATAGTGAAAGACTCTGAAAAAACAATAGTGGAGCTTTGTTTTGATATTTAAAATTAAAACTGTGTACCAGGGTATGTTCCCTGTTAAACTTGGTATAAGAGGTTGTGTCAATTTTACTGACGTTCCTGTTCCCCCTTTTCAAGAACCTTTTCAGCATGTTTGTAGCCTACAGCCCTATTCACAGTGGATCAGGCGATTGGGTGTGTGTGAGGGTGTTGGTTCATACCCTTAGCTCCTTTGCTCCTGCTGTTGTAATAGACTGTATTTGCCACAGGGAATGCATTTTTTGCATTGTTTCAATGGGCATTTAAATGTGACTGTTGGTGTGAGACACACTGTGCAAGTTCTCTCTGTAGGCTCTTGTGACAGCATGGCTAAGATCACGCCTCCTGGTGTAGCGGTTACTGTAGTGATACAAGCAAATAGCAACCAAATCCTGTCTTGGTTACAGGTGCATAGGTCACACCTCTCCCCTTTCTGCAATGAATTTTTGTTTTTATCACAAAAAGACAAGTGGATTTGGCTCAAAGCTGGAAACCAAAAGCTCTGTGCGTTTTCTAGAGTGAACTCAATGTCCTGCAAGTAGACAATAATGAACCCCCCCGTGGTGACTGTGGTGGACTGTGCACCTCTTCTCTGCTCTTTGCAGCATAACAGGACGGCGGTACAAATTAAAGAGGACATGAAGAAGATTGTGCAGCTGCCACTCATCAAGCAGAAAGAGCCCAGGATGTGGAAGGTGTTTGGCGTCTCACTCTCAGATCTCAAGGAGCAGGGCCTTCTGAAAGATGGGATTCCGCTGGTGGTGAGGAACATGGTGGAACACTTAATGGAGAACGGTAGGTGCAGAATAATGTGAACCCAACATCTCAGCTGTGCTGTGGCCCATATTACTTTAGCCGAATGTACATTTGCGTATTTTTTTAATACCTATTGTAAAGAACCATGATTTAAATCATTGTTTAGATGTATCTTTTTCACTTTCAGTTATTTCCTTATAACAAGGTGTACATGTTATGAGAAAAAACAGGTTACAAGTGCTTTGATTTGCAAATATTCTCTATATTTATAATATGATTATTTTACAGAAAGTATAAAGTATGGTTTTAAAAATGCCCTTAAGTGTTGTGGGAGTATGGAACAAGGCACCCAACCATATTGTTAAAGCTGATACCCTGACATCTTTCAAGAAACAGCTGGATAAGATCCCCTTATCAACTATCCATGAGCAACTAAACAAACCAGATGGGCCAAATGCTATTGTCCTGCTTATTATATTTTCATGTTCTTGTAACTCCATTTATTTTGGCCTTTGGGGACATTCTTATCCCATTATTCATTTTCAAGAGAGCTTCAGTCATTTGAATAATGTTTAATACAGATGTGTAGAAAGCTATTCTATTCTAGAGTGCTGTGAATGATAATGAATTCGTGGTAATTACACTAACCAATATCCAGACATACTGTACAACTTTGTGTTTTGTTACTTATATGTGCATTTGTAGAAGGGCAGCAGGGTGTAATGCCAGTTAGTGCTACTGTCTCACAGCTTTTGGGTTCTGGATATGAGTTCTCACTGGGGAACTGTCTACTGTCTGTCTATTGTTTGCATGTTCTCCTTGTGAACATGTGAATGTGAACTTCCACAGATACAGTATGCTGTCTAGGTTCATTGCTGTTTCTATATATCCCTGTGTGCTGTGTACTGACAACCCATCCCAGCTGTAGTCCTGTCTTGTGCATTATGCTTTCAGAGTATGTTGTGGGTTGCTGAAACTATAAGAAATAATAAAGGCATCCTTGACAGATGATTCAGCAGAGTGATAGTTTACAATGAGCTGTAACCAGACTCAGAAATCAAAATGGAAGGGATTTCTTCTTCCTCTATGGGCTTTTAATTTGCAGCAGTGTGGGATTGCGATTAGGGTTCTGGAGTTGTAACTGGAAGGTTATGTGTTCAAATCCTGGGTGTGCCAGTGATCCCACCTGTACTTCACTCAGATTGCTGTATAAATGTGTACAATGACTTTGGATAAAAGTACCAGCCAAATAAACTCATATTAAACATATCCATACAGTATATGTAAAATGATCTGCCCCTTTGACATTTTCATAACAATACAAGCATCATAAATTCATGTTTTGAAGATCATCTCTGTGTGCATGTTTTTTTTAAATAAAGAGAACTTCTTTGGATGTTAGATAGTGATAATCACAGTGTCATGTGACAATGCTTAGAATAATAACTCTGGCCTCTGGAAGCTGGAAGGCATAGTTCAAGGTAGTGTGGGGAGAGGTGGAGCTGAAGTGTCATCTGAGTGCGAGATGCAGTTTTTCCTCTTAGCCTTTTATGACATCGTCTTTTCACACTTTGGCTTTGTATAAAGGTAATCTATCTTGCTGAAACATAAGACTTCATTGCCTTGAGTCATTGACAGTGTAAAAACTGTCACCATGGAACTACCCAGAGAATCCTTTGAAAAGTGCCCCAGTACATGTCAGGTCTCCTTGGAACTAAACTACACTGACCTTTTATGTTTTTTGAAAGGTTTCTGTAGACTCAGCTGAAAGAGACATAATTCAGATAATCTTAGTCATATATCAAACAGGCATTCCATCCTATAGACTTTGACATCAATTACTTTATGGCTCCAGACACTGAGTTTACAACTACAATGTTGACCATTTTCTAATGAGTTTGAGCTGGTCATAGTAATGGTAATTTTCTCTCTTATTAACAGTCCTATTGGTTTAAATGAAAATAATCAGAAAACAGTATTAGAATATATTTAGATATTTCTAAACATTACATTTTAAGAACAATTCCCCAAATCTCACATTAGCATAGAGCTATATTGTGCTTCTAATTTACAAATTGTATAAAGCCTGTGTACAGGATTTCACAGGCTCTTAAATATCTTAATCCTCATTCAATACTTAGCCACATTTAAACATTCAACTGTAGTTACACTGGTTAACTCCAATGACTTTAAATACTTAAGCATGTGTTAATAGATCAGTGAACAGGAGCTCTGTTCTTTTGGTCTTGAATGTCAAATTTTAAAATGGTGTAATTGCGCCCTGTAATATGAGCCTTTGACTAGGCTGAACAAAAAAGCTCCTGATGTGATGTGGTCAGAAGATGAGTCACAGTGACATTTTCTCTTATGCTACTTATATGGTTATTGCTGGCCTGTTGTCTGGAAATCATTGTTCAGAGATTCAATCACAAAAGTGTCCCTTTTAGGAGCAGATCTGGACAATTTCAGGACAATCCTGCCAGAAAGGCCTCTGGCATTAAGCTAAAAATACTATTTTATTGGGTCTTTTTTCATAAACTACTCAATAGTAATGATAAAATAGAAGTTTTGTGTTATGAAGCTATTTTGGTATGCTTAGCCTTTTTACGACTTTAGTTTTTATTAAAAAAAATGAATAGGATTAACAGTAATTTGTGGTGGTTTAGCAGTGCAGGCTGCTTTCATGCTTCCTTCACAGATGTAAAACATTTGTTACAACAAGTAGCAAATATTAGTTTGAAGGCTTTTTAAAAACAAACCTGATTTCAGTGCCACTTACTGAGTTCACCTTTAGAATGTAACAAGTAATAGGTTTATTCCATGCTGAAAAGAGAAGAAAGGAAACACAACGTTTCAGCTGTGGAGCCTTCTTTGGGTATGTTAACTTTAAGAATGCCTGCTTGATTGCTTTAAAATTAAGGCTAATTTAATAATTCCATTAGATCCTTTAATGAACTATAGACTTCCAGCACTGATCCTAAAACAAATGGGTTCAACATCTTTTAACTTAATGCTGTTCTCTACAAAGTACTGGTAATCAACCATATGGCATCAGGTAGTGAGTTTCAAGTAAACATACAACCCTGAAGTCTAAGGAGTTTTCAGAACAACTCGGGGACAAAGTTGTATAAAGGCTTTGAAGTAAATAATTCATAAAGGAAATGGACCCAGTCACTGAGGAGCTGGGCAAGAAGGTAACTGGTTGGTGATGCCACTATGAGACCAATGACAACTTTGAAAGAGTTATAGAGTTCAGAAACTAAAATGGGATAAAAATTTCCATGGGTCATAGGATTCTACACAGCAGGCTAGTATGGAATTGAAAACAAATCTCAATTCCCGAATGACATCTAAGTGATTCTGCAAACATTTGGCAAAAGAGTTTGTGGTCGAACAATACGAAACTGGAATGTTTTGCTCTAAGTACAAAGCCATATATTTGATCCAAACCCGACATAGTGCATCAATCAGTCAACACCATCTCTGTCAAACATAATGGTGGCAGAATTATGTTGCAGTCTGGGAATCTTGTCAAGACTGATGGGACCATAGACGGAACAAAATACTGGCAAATCAGAGAAGAAAACATGTTTTAATCAATAGTCACACTATTACTTGAGAAGCCTAAACTTTTACTTCAAACTGCTTTTAGCCATCAACATATTTTAAGATAACTGGGAAAACATTTACATTTCATCAGGACTATGAACCAAAGCATAAGGCTAATGTTACACTGACATGGCTCAAGGATAAGAAAGTGAATGTCCTTGATTGACCAAGTCAAGGTTCTGACTAGAATCCTATTGGGAATCTCTGGAAAGACTTGAAAACTGCTGTACAGAAGTGAACCCCAAACAACCTGAGAGAGCTTGAGGAAATGTGTAAACAAGTGAGTAAAAATTGCATTTTGCAATTATCCAAAGTTGGTAGACCAATATATAAAGAGTTGTGGCTGCGATTGCTGCCAAAGTACCAGCAAATCTTAGAGGAAAAGAAATATTAGTCAATGTTTCAACAAATATTGTGTTTACAAGACTGTAGACTTAAGCAATCAACATATTTCATTTTTTCTCTTTAGTTTTTGCTTACATATATTGTAACATGTCTTAACCTTTCAGACCTTCAGTTTGAATATTCAGCTTTTAAAGTTTAAAAAATGCGAATCCAACCATAGGAAGGGACTGGCTACTTTTTCAAGAAACTGTATCACTAAAGCAAAGTTCATGAAAAGGTCAAACATCAAGTCCTAGTCTCCAAATCCAGACCTTAATGCGAGACATGCTGTGGCCAGAGGTGCCTTTTCAGCTTCTGACATTCTGCCTCTAAGTGGGCCTCTGATCAGTCTAAACTGGGTCTGGGCTCCTCCATCTCTCTGCTATGTCTTTTGTCTTGGGCCTTTGCCTGCATGCACCAATAGAAGTATTGGGCATCTCGCAGCTTCACCTCCAGACATCACAAGTCTCCCGGAAGTCCCAGGAGCCTCCAGAAAATCAGCATCTTCTCCCTGACTCCCACAAGTGATCCATAATCTCCTGGAAATCACCCCCCCGCTCCCAAATTTTTCACTTGGCGCGGTCTGAAAAATCATCAGCGAATTATATAAGAAGATAATATGACCTTGAAGTATCTGAGAATCTACTCAAATCTGCTAAACAAGCTGCATCTCTGTACAACGAAAGTTTTCAAAGAAAGTGAGATTATTCAACTGGACTGGTGAGTTACAGTATTTTAGCGAATCTGGGTTCTTGGGCAGCCAACATCCCTGTTATCCGCAGGGGCAGACTCGTTACAATATCTATAGTGAATTGCATAAATATTATACTACCAGTGAATTGGTAGTATATTACCACCAATTGAATTATTTAATTATGTTGCTGTGATTTTTTTCAAGGACCCCCCCCACCCCTGATCCCCAAGTTTTCACGGAAGGGACGACCCGCCTGTCACAATCGTAATCCCTCCTCTTAAGGGCGCTCCGGCCCTTTCATATTTAAGTTGATTATGTGCACCTGCCCTCTGTTTGTCCCTCCTTATTTTGCCTGGTGCTCTCGCTACTCCTGGCTCTGCATTGGAAGATGGACGCCTGGAGGCCCGCCTAGCATCAAGTCTCCCCACGTCCGCGACTTGAGGGCATAGGCCTCAGAATGGCGTCCTGACCAGCTGAGTCCGGGGCTCAGAGCACCTGGCCTCGTCAGTCAATTTTTAACTTCCTGGTTCTACATCCCCGTTCCTTGTTTTTACTCTTGTTTTTGTCTTGGATGGACCTCCCTGTTTTATATATTGGACTGTGCCATGGTTTCCCTATTTGGACTGTTTTGAACCTGTTCGCCTGCGCCACGTCCCCTGAGCACCTGATCACAGCCATCATGCCCCCCTGTCTGCCATCCCGTCCTGCTGCTGCTGTTTCTCCCTTGAAGTCTTATTCCAGTCACTTCCGGATTATACTGTCTGCATAGGGTCCTAAACTACACATCGTGACACCCACCCCTCCCTGAAATCAATTTTTCAAAGTTGGGATGTCTGCACCTCTGCCTATCCAATCCATGATGAATTTACCTGACTCTCCCTTTCCAGTCCATCCTCTGCTTGCTTCAGGATTTGCCCTTGCGATACAGTCACAGTACGCACATTTATTCTGGTTAAATCACCTCACCATTGACTTGTCCACTTCATAGCTTCCCTTCTCCCAGCATTAACAGCGTAGTCCCTAGAGCGGACTTTCTCTGTGGTATGCAATCACTGGCCACGATATAGCTGGTAAGATCAGCAGAATTAAGTGACTAGCTGGCGACAGCCATCATCACTGCCATCGGCTCTAAATCTCAGGCAGCTCAATGGATGTGCCTGCCAAATCAGCATTAAGTATTCACAGCTGCCACACCAGCTCAAAATTATTTCAATACAGTTTCAGATGCATCCCCCATTCTAGCTCATTCAGCCTTAACTCTGTTTATTGAAATATCGGATTTCCTCTCTGTACAGAGAAACTTAAGCAATTCCAGTTTACGTGAGTCTCTAAGGATTGTCCTCAATTCCAACGTTTTTGCCTCATCATAAGCCAGACAGGGCTATATTTAGACATTTCTCTCTATTTTCTTATTCAATTCAATGTGAGAAGTTACACTCCTCAGTCGCTTAAAATATCCTATGCGCATTGCGCTTTGGGGTGCACCATAATTTATTTCACATCCCTCCCATCACCCCATCTTTGCTGCAGCTGCTTGGCTCATGCCTCAGCAAAGCGGGGGGGTTCTGACAGTCCCACCCTTAAAGAAGGATTCATAAAAGTTTTTCTTGGCCAGGCGAGTAATACCACAAAGCTCACCTATTTCAATCACGCCTCATCTCTGTTGTGATTGGGGTTTGTCCAACCTACTTCAACATCTCTGAACAGAAAATTTCTCATCCACCAGTGACTCACCCAGTCACAATAGAGACCAGTAAGACAGCACTGAAGACACTGAAATGTCATCCAAAAGAGCTAGTAGCTCAGGAATGTAAACTGATCCAAAACTGCAGGGCTCTATGTAAGTGAAGAATTAGATTCTAAAAGATTCATGAGGCATGAAAGTAACCAGTGTTATTTTGCAAGAACTGCTGTAATGTGCTTTGTGCTACAATGACACTTCATGCAGTGGTTCTCTATACTAACTGCAAACCACACTGTATTTATACAGTCAATCTGGGAGGTATTTCCTTGCACCCAAAGGAATCGTCTTTTAACTTATTACTAACATATATTTTTGGTAAGTCCATCTTCACTGAATATCTTTTGTTGTTTTCATCACATCTGTGAACTGAAGGAACAAACTAGAGTGTTCCTAGTGTGTTTTCAGCATTGTCTCACTAGGTGTCAATGTTGTGCTTTCAATACTTATATAGAGAGCAGTTTCCGTCACTTCATGAGTGCACTGTCGAGTGCACTGTTACATGTACAGTAAAAAAGGGGCTAAAGATCCAAATGTACCAAACAACAAGGGATTGATCAAGAAAAATTATGTAAAGTAATTAAAATATGTAATTCAATATAATTTTTATCTAACAATTTTCTTTGCTTAAAAGCTTGATTCCAAAACAAATAACTTGATTATGCTATGTGGCTGATACAGTACTTTCTATCCATAACACTTTCCCATAATAACAATCTAATAAGTACAGTATATATTATAATCTAATAAGGACGGAGTGTCTGTCTTAAGGATACAACAGTGCACCCCCTGGGATTTCAAAATCATTTCAATTATTAAATGGGAAACACGGTGATGCAATGGTTAGCATTGATGCTTCACAGCACTGGGGCCTGAGATCAATTCCTAGGGTGCTATCTGCATGGGTTTTGTGCTCGCTTCCTCCGGGTGCTCTGATTTCCTCCCACAGTTCAGAAACATGCTGGTAGATCAATTGGTTTCTGAGAACCTGGCCCTGAAATGAGTGTCTGTGTGTCTGCTCTGCGGTCCTGTCCAGGTTGTATCCCGCCTCGCGGCTGGGATAGGCCCCTGAATTGAAGAAGTGGTTAGAAAATGGATGGATGGATAATTATAATAATTACTTTTTATATATATTAATTATAGTATATTAAACATATTAATTATAATATAATTAATATTTTAAGAAATGAAAATATTTGGGAAATTTGTTTGTATAGATTAAGTTTACACTTCCTGTCAAATCCTCAACTAATATCTGTGTAAACTTCACAGTGTCCTAGTATTCCCTAGACATTATTCATGGGTAATAGCTTTGTTTATGTGCATAACAACTTTGATTGGAATTCTGATTAAACTACACTGGTATGTGCTGGAGCACCATGTGAGAATCCGAGAGGAAAAAGAATCACAAAAAACTTGTTGGCATTCTGAACGGCACTCAATGCAGAATTGCGCCACATGGCTATTAAATTTAACTGTCAGATACTGTCAATAAGAATCCAGCAAGCAACAGCATGTGATAGCTTTTCACATAATTAACGGCATTCTTCACATGAGAAAACCAGTACACTGTAACAATAATAAAACCTCAATTAGAATGTGCCTGTTCCATGATGTCAAACAGACTCTTAGGACTGATTATAGCGATCTGTCTACAGGTGGCTTTGCTGGCTTCTTAAGTACCAGAATAATGATAATGGGAGTGTTTGTCAGGCAGGGTCACTCATCTCCTCCTCTCTCCTATTGCAGGGATGCAGCAGGAAGGCCTGTTCCGAGTCAACGGGAATGTAAAAGCCGTGGAACGGCTGCGCAGGAGGTGCGAGACCAGGGAGACGGTGGACCTTCTCCAGGAAGCAGACATTTGCTCAGTAGCCAGCCTCCTGAAACAGTTCCTCAGGGATCTCCCTGAAGGGGTGATCACCTCCACTGTTCAGACAGCACTGATACACCTGTACCACGGTGAGTGCAGTGCTATTTCAAACCGGGACAAAGAAGGGCCTTTTTGCTGTTTGCGTCCACTAATGATTTATCGCCTCCCAAAAGATTTTTGTCTTTGGAAAACAACATCCTTCAGGCTGCTCTGGGTTTTAATTTGACTATATTATATTTCCATTTTAGAGTGGAAGTCATATTTCCCTTCCACTCTAAAATGCAGAGCTTCTTTTTGTGTCATAATAATTTCTGTTGAAAAAAGTAAATCAAAAGAACAGTATTAATCTTAAAGTGTTGAGTTTGACAATGTGGCTGGGTAGCTTGTTCGAGACTCCTATAGCCCCTCATGAAAAGAGGTGCCTCCTGTTATTGATTTTAAATATGCTGCCCCTTATAAATATGCTTCCTGTGTTTAGTTATTTGTGTTGATTGTGAAGAAATCCATAGAGCTCACTTTATTCAAGTTCTCATAATCTTCTCTGGTCAGGACTAAAACGATTCAGTTCTTTTAGCCTATCAGAGTAGAGGATTTCTTTGACTTGAATGTACTGTACCTAGATGTTCTTCTCTAGACTGGTTATTATTACTTCAGAGCAGTAATAACTTTGTTGAATCATGGTGACCAAACTGAGCAGTTTTTTTTTTATTTCAACATCCATATAATAGTTGTATGATTACAACCTTTGAGTACTGTGGTGGTTCATCATTGGTTTAAAACATCTGCTTTCCATTTTCCAAATACCACAACACAATGGCCTCAACCAGATTGTCCTGTGCTCAAAAGAGATATAGTAGCATTTAATATCACCCTATCGGGTTTCCATGAACTATGAGGAAACTTGATTTTGAGGACTTCTCTACTTGGAAACGAATGCTCTATGTCAGTGTTCGGACTGTGTATGACAAGGAGAGATGTTTTGGCAAAGGTCTGCATCAAGAAAAGTGTCCTGAGAGTCAATGGTACATGGGCAAGTCCAGTCTAGACCTTCACTTTCACAGTAGATCATGTGGTATCACAGGATCCATGGTTTATATTCCATAGTTTGGCTAGATCCTAATAAATGCGAGACAGGAACGAGATATGCAGAGTATATTTGGAGTAGAGCGTCTGGCTGAGGGAATTTTGGTGGCCTGAAGATTATATAAGAACGTGAAAGAAAGTGTGTGAGATTAAGACCTAACCTTCTTCCCAAATTTCTATTATAACTTTGTTATAACTCCATTTATGAGTATAAAACAAAGTCTGTTTGATGCAGATGCTGTAATGACCATCTATCCATTTTTAACCGCTTCTTCCAATTCAGAGTTGTGGGGGAGCCAGAGCCTATCCAGACAGGCAATAGTGTAATCTGTTTCTTGAAAATCTTTTTGGGTTACAGAATTACATTTTTTGCTAAATCTCTTTAAAGATTCACCAGAGGATTTGTCTGACCTAAATGCAAAATTCTGGATTAATAATTTATTATACAGAGGCAGACAGTAAATATGGCATAATAGATGTCTACAGTCATGTTTGGAAGTCCAGGACTCAGGATACCTGTAGGTTAAAAGCTGAGACGTAAAAGCATTGAATGCTTACATCTCACCAGAAAACTGATGTATTTATGCAGAGTGACCTTAATACTCCTGCACTACACATGTGTTTCTAAATATTATGTGCAGATGGTGCACCCTCAGTGCCAGGAGAAATTCATATACATTACCTTCCTTCTGGTCATTGGGATTTGATTTCACTGCACATAGATGTAGATACTGTTTCACATTAACTTTTACATCATATGGCACCTCATGTCAGAATTGCATAATAAATGGTACTGATTATTTCAGGTAAAGTACCACTGAGTGAAAGGACTATTTCAGTTTTTAAAATGTCCTTTTTCTCTGTTTTTATCATTTTAGCCTTAATTAGTATGAACAATCTCCAAAGAGCCTTACTCCGTATCATGAATGTTAATTCATCTCTCATGTTTTGAGCCAAGGAGAATTGTTTTCCGGAAGAAAGAAATTGTATTGTTTCTCACAAACAAAGATTGATTAAAAATTATGGAAATCTTACAAACAATCGTGTATGGGCCTGTTTCCTCTCTATTATTATGCTTGTTCATGCTAGCTCATTAAAATACCTCCTTACCTGTTATGATATGACTTGGCCATGAAGCATGATTATGTGCATATTCATTAAAATTCATACTGGCAGTAATTATTCCTGTACAATTATGGTAGTGTTGAAATTACAATCAGAAGACACTTTCTCTTCATGCCAGCGTTGTTATAGCTAGTCTTGGAGATGATAGATAGGCTCAGAGTTATACTCATCTCTCTTTTATTACTATTACATTACATGAAATAACACTGACACTGTGTAATAGAAGTCAGTACCTAGTTTTTACCTTCAATGAAACTTTAGGAGTTGTTAAAAAGTATCTGAGGAGTTTCTTGAGGAGGTGGTGAGTTGAGTTAAAAAAGACACTTAAGCAGTCATCATTTCAACACAGGCAATAGAGGTTTCCATTCTCATTGTGCAGATCTCTTTGCTGTCTCCAAATGATTCTTGTCAAAATTATTCTTAGCATTTATTTTTCCAATGTTTGGGAAAATATTCGACAATATCACCCCTATTTAAACCCTTGTTAAATGTAAATGATTGAACTGTGGGCCCATGCTAATCCATGCATATTCTGTTTGTGTTTGAATAATTCAGTCTCTTCAGAGGTGATAAGGAACAATAGACTTATTTTATGTGTTTCCTCAAAGACATGTTGCAATTTTAACAATGTTTGTGTATCTCAAAGACAACTATTTATCTTTGAGAAATTCATTAAAATGTTTACTGGAAAATTTCATTTTTTAGTTTAGCAAATGAAACCTGATGACTTGCAGAGTGAAGCGCAGTGTTAGAAATTACTTGTCCATAAATGTTCACCATTTTGTCCTTCAAATAAATGGTGGACAAAAACTTTTTTCGTTGACAAATGCTGTTTTTGTCCTGCTGTGACTCAATTGCAGGTGCTCACAAGCGACTCTGACTTCAGAATCACACAGCACCATTCCTCCTCACCCTGCAGGAGAATTTAACACTATCTAGGGTCCAAGGGGGTGATGTCTCCTTCTGTAACAGGCTGAGTGCGACTTTCCCTACTTCACGTTCGTATAGTTGAGTTGTTTGCCATCTACTGAACTGAGAGACAGGTCATTTGGCACTCCTACTGGGTACAGGGTTTGCTCTTGGAACATGCTGCCTAAAATGAACATGACTGGATGAAATATGATATTGTTGTATGCAGTTAAATCATGAGTGCAGCTGCGAATGTCAATATACTGGGCTTTCACTGTATTTATTGTTTGGTACTTCCAAATGTACCCTGTAAAAAGAATGTGTCGATGCTTTTACTTCAATGACACTTAAGCTATAAATTAGATTTGCAGATTAGGACACTTGAATGAATGCATATAAAATACCTTCATTAGTTCTGGCAATAAAGCCTAATCATATTAACCAGACTTCAGAAACTAAAGGAAAAATATATAATACCACACTAGAAATAAAGAACTATAGACACAATTTAAAATAAAATTCCAATATTATTTTCCCCCAAAATATGTGTTTAGTAGAAACTTTTCTATGTTGGGAAAGCTGAAACAACTTCTTAAAACCAGATGAAGGAGGACAAGCACATTTCAATTATTAATCAACAGATACAAATCATAATGCATTTTAAAAGTCTGTCAACTTTTTGCAGACATTCCTATCATCAAACTAAAAAACTTAACTGTACGGACATTTTCTTGATATAATGATATAAACCTCTATGACATAATAACCAAAACAACCATATCTCAATTGGATTTGTTATGGCATAAAATCAATTTTAATATACAGTACATTCTACAGTACATTGGGGGTCTTTTTTCCACCTATAAAAATAAATGTTTAAAGCATATACAGACATTTTACTATGAAACCCATAGCATTTAAATATTATTGTTAGATAATGCACATTTATTGTCTCTTTACCAAATATGAATACTTTATCTAATTACATATTTTGAACACTCACTTTTAAGGTAAGAGTTACAAAACTCAGAATACAATGTTACAAAACCTTATGGATTTTAATTACAAAGCAAACTTGAATATCTCTTTATTTATGCTTGGGTCAGTAAGATTACGTTACAGCATAGAAGACTTGAGAAAATGTTTAGCTTCAAACTCTGAAAAGCAAGAATACATTAATAAGACCTGTTTTGGAAAAGGAAAATATAGTTCTGTTTGTAGTATTTAACCTTATTTCTAGTAGGTCTTTCAGTTTACAATAATGATCTTCTTAAAACAAGCCCCCAGTTCGAATCGATTAAAAATCCAGCAAATTTCGATAAATCTTTATTAAATTAAACTGGTCTAAAATATCAGTAGATCATGCAGAAATAACCCTTTTGATGTTTTAAAAGTGTTAGCTGTGTTAGTGTTAGATTATACTGTTATGCGGTTTTTGGTGCTGTTTAAACAAATGGTTGTCATACGTTTGACTGTTACGTTTCCTCATTTTAACGCCAAACCGGATTTTGGAGAAGTGCGCTTTCTAAGTCATGTTTCCCGCAGGAAAAGGTTTAGGCAAGGTGGTAACCTCCCGCAGATGACATGTGGCACGTTAACGTCAGTCCCGCCCCCAATACGCTGTCGACAGCTAGATTACTGTACTGGCTTGTGATCTAACTAGCTATCTGTATTATTGTTACTGGATAATAACAGTCCTATCCTGAACAAGACGTTATATGACAACATTAACTTGTCTGATAATATGGAGTTCAAAGATTTAGGCTTCACATAATGATGACCGAGGAAGAGCTTTGTGCTTGAACCACGTTGTTATTTACCGTTTTCTGTCTGCATCACACCATCATTGTGTTCTTTTTGGCTTATCAGGCTGTGTATATAATTTTGTGCTCATTTAGGCCATAAGTGTTTTTTCACTTTTTTTTCTCAATTTTTTCAAATTGTATTCCACATCCGTTATTATTCTTTAGAAATTATGTTTCTCAACAATGTCTGCAAGTGGCGAAAAGACACACTGTGACTTGATGATTCGGCTGCGAGGAAATGCTGTTTTTCTTCTGCGATGATTACTAACATACAGTAGCTATCAAGGCTCCAAAGCTGTCTGCACACTATTTGTATTGATGGTTTCTTTAATTCATTTACAACAACCACAGAGTCACGCGTCTCTACAACAGTTTCAAAATGTTACATTCATTACGTAGTTTCTTTAACCAACTAGACTTGATACAGATACTGTACGTGACTTTTTCGGGCCAATACACAGTACAGGACTGTGAGATTCGGTTCAAATGCTTGAGATTTGAGAGCTACAGTATGCGATTGTACCACCTGGCTGGCAAATGATCTTATAGTATAGCTGAAGTACTATGAAACAGTATTTCAATATAGATTTATGTGTACATTTTGTCTGTGTTCACGCATTTGTTTGGCAAGGCAGTGCTGATTTTTCACCAGGCAGCACTCCTGGCCTGTATACAGCTGGGAACTCTGGCCTGGTATTCTGTGTTAGGGCGTCCCAGCCACAGTTGGCTAAGGACAGGACTCAACCTGTGCTAAGGAAAACAGCTGTAAGTGCTTAAGAAAAGCTGCTTGGGAAGCCCCTTAGTGTGGATGGTTAATATTAAATACATTTATAATACAATTTTTAATAAATTTGTAAGATACTATATACTGTATATTGATTTATTACAATTATTTATTATTATTCCTTACACTTATATAGCGCTTTTCTGGACACTCCACTCAAAGTGCTTTACAGGTAATGGGGACTCTCCTCCACCACCACCAATGTGCAGCCCCACCTGGATGATGCAAAAGCAGCCAAAGTGCACCAGAACACTCACCACACACCAGCTATCAGTGGGGAGAAGAACAGAGTGATGAAGCCAATTCATAAATGAGGATTATTAGGATCCCATAAATGGTAAAGGCCAATTGAAAATGTGGCCAAGATGCTGGGGTAACACTCCTTCCTATTCTTTTCAAGAAACACCCTGGGACTTTTAATGACCACTGAGAGTCAGGACCTCAGTTTTACATACAGTACAGTATCATTGATATTTTTCCCAGGTCTCTCATCCAGGTATTGCCAAGGCTCACACCCACTGAGCTTTAATGGGTTGTCAGTTGAGAGTTGTAAGTTAGCTTATTCAACTTTGATTTTATAAACTAAGATATTTACAGAAGATATGTTACAGTACTATAATTACTTAAAACAATGTTTTAATTAATTGTGTGAACTTAATAACGGTCTACCTTCACCTTTTTATCCACTTTGTTTTCTTTGCTTTTTAATTTGCTTTCATTTTGTGGCATGTGCGCTTAAGGTACTATTAAATACTTAAGATTATTATGTAAATATTGATATTAATGTTTATATATGAACATTTTGTTGAGTGTTGATAAAGCTTCTTGTTATTGTTTCTGGTATTAATATAAGACCTGTCACATATTGGCACCTCCCCTTGAATTTTCCCAGTGAGACTCATATCATGTTGAGCTTTTCCTTAGTTTCCTATAATCCTGGATTTCCCATTGCTTTTGACTCCATCCATGACAGCCACTAAGACCTGTTCCTCAACCAAATTCCTGAACATACTGTCCTGTTTCTAATATTATCATTGCCCATTGGCCTTCAGTCCTGAGAAGCATCTGTGTGATCTAAGTGCAATCTAAAATCAGGGACAGAAAAGTTCATAATGAAGATGATTGAGAACAATAGAGGACATACCCATGTGATGTAATCAGAAATATTTTTAATTTGCCTTTGAGGTCTCACTTAACTATTTCTTTATGCTGCTTGGGTTCAGTCTTACTCACCTTTTTTCAGATCATCTGTTTTTGTTTTGATTCCCAGTCGTTGCATCTCTGTTGTGAAGTTCATTTATACAGTTCAATTGTCTAAATCTTCTTTTACTTTGCAGAATATAGCGAGGATCAATTAAAGCAAGATCTGAAAGAAATATTACAACAGCTGCCCAAGATACATTACTCCCTGCTGAAATATCTGTGTCATTTTCTGACCCAAGTGGAGAAACAGCAGAAGGACAATCGAATGACAGTGTTTAATCTGGCCACCGTGTTTGGACCAAACGTCTTTCAGTAAGTAAGAATTTAAAAAAATGTGCTGGCTTATAAAATTGATAGATAGTTGGAAAAATGACTGTGTTAACGCCTGCCACAGGAAATGTATTATGAGATAAGGTATTAATAATAAAAGCAATAAAAATCTTGTTTACAAGGCATTTGGAAGTTTTATAGTTTTCCGTAGTTTACACTCACTGTCCCTTCTCAAACTTCTCAAACTGGTAACTAGTTTTCACTACAACTTTTTAATCAAATCATTAGCCACAAGGCTCACAAATAATGTCAAGGTTTGTGATATTTTGACTGAACTCTAAAAATGGAAACATTTCTTTACCTTGCTTACGATCCTAATAAGAGCTTGCAGTTTTTACAATCTCATTAGAGAATTTAAAGAATATAAGAAGGGTAACAATCAGAGGAGGCTGGTTTTAAAAGAGGAGGCTCCCTTTTCATTGCTTGCAGTTCAGTAATCCAGTGATCTCATCTAGTCACTTCTTGAAAGAAGACATTAATCAAGAAGGTATTATCTTCAACAACAAGATTGGGTATAGTTCACGTGCACACCAAACCTTTATATAAAAGTACATCCTGTTCTCAGTTTTAAATGTACAGTATAACCGTTCAGTTTCCGTATAGTTTTTTTTCCAGTAGTTTTTCACTGTTGATTCTTAGGACATCCATTGAGTCGAGTTTGCCAATGTCTCTTTTTTGCCTCCGAACCCAAAGTAGGGCTTTCCTTTAAGCCCTGTATGCGGTTGTTCTTTTCTGAACCTCTCCCAGAGCAGCAATACAGTGCCTTGCGAAAGTATTCGGCCCCCTTGAACTTTTCAACCTTTTGCCACATTTCAGGCTTCAAACATAAAGATATAAATTTTTTA